AGGCCGCCCACGCCTCCCTCGGCTGCCCACAGCCTGCCCCACGAGGCCGCCTACGCCTCCCTCTGCTCCCCATAGCCACAAGGCCGCCCATGCCTCCCACGCCTCCCTCGGCTGCCCACAGCCTGCCCCACACGGCCGCCCACGCCTCCCTCGGCTCCCCATTCCATGTAGCTGCCCGCTCGCACCCTCCTGCAGTTACCTGGGGCTGGAGCTCTCCTGTTTTTTCCCCAGGCTCGTAATGGGAGTCACTGCCTGCAGTGCCGTTTGGTTCAGCCGGATGGCCACGGCCTGGAACCCACGGGCGACGCTGCTCAGTGCGCCAGGCAGGGCACAGGGGAGGCCGGGCCATGGGGGCTGCTCATTACCTCAGGGTCGTCAGTCAGGTAGATCTGCCTGGAGATGTTGTTGATGGTGCAGATCCACTGCAGAGGGGAGAGAAGCCCTGAGTCCAGAGCCGCCACCGCACGCACGCACAGGAGGTCAGGTGCAAAAGTGGGGCGCAGCTAGTTACCTCCTCATTCTCCTTCCTGCTCTCTGCCTGGAGGATTATCCCCCTGGAACAAAGCAAGTCCAGTCAGGGCTGCACTCTCGGACAGCCGTCCCCTCCAACATAAGCGGGAAGCCCACGCGCTGCCCTCTGAGCTCAAGTCTGACCACTAGCAGGGACCAAGTCCTGTGGCCCTGCTGGCCTCTAACCACATCCAGGACTTGGCAGTGTTTCCAAGCACCGGGAAGTCCATAGACAGAGACCAGGCCCAGGCGGGTGATGGTGACAGCGGTGTCACTGCCTCAGCTCTGGGAGGGCCTCTGCTCCATCCTTAATTCCTCTTAGGGATGGCGCAGGAGAAGCACAGATCTCATCCCTGTCTCCAGGTGAGGACCCTGCGACTAGAGCCGGAAGTGCAGGGAACGGCTACTAGGACCTCTGGACGGGGCAAGAACCACAGCCCCTGCCAGCTGGGAGGGCGACCCCCCCCCGTGTCCCCAGGACACGCAGGCCCCTCTCCTCCAAAGGTAGGCTCCCTGAACGAGACCCTCGCTGGGCTTGCCCCTCAGGGGCCCCATGAACAGAGGACCACCAAGGTCCCAGGCCCAGCGTGGCCGTCCTGTGGCTTACGATTTCCCGTCGGGAGCCGTGATCTGGAAGCAGTAGCGCCGGTCCTCGCAGTCCACTGCCATCACGGAGCAGTTGTCCAGGTCCTGGATGAGCCCGCCGGCCACAGCGCCCCGGGGCTGGCACAGCAGGTTCCCGCCCTGGGTGAAGAAGTAGAGCCGCTCCCAGCTGGTGCTCACCAGCCCTGTTTTGCTGCGGGAAAGGAGCGGCAGGGCCCTCAGCACCCGGAGGGAAGCGCAGGAGCCTCCGCCCGCCACCGCCCGGAGTTCAGAAGCAAGGGCGGCTTTCCACAGAGCCAGTCGCCGCTGCTCCAGGAGACCGTGGGCTCCGCTCCCACTGGCAGCGCCAGCCCCCGGCAATGCCAAGCACGCGGGTAGAGTAGGCCCGCACCCCCTCAGCCCACAGACGCCCCATGACCCCTGTCCCAGGGCCCCTGCTAGCTGGGCTGTGCTGCCGGGAGGCCACTCTCAGCTAACGGGGCCTCTGGGAGCAAGGCAGGAGGAGCTCAGCACACCTTAGGATCTGCAGATTTTTTATGAGGACGTTTGCCTATGAGCTCTGCAAGCCCCGGGCTCAGCTCTGCCCGAGGGGAAGAGCTTCCGTTGGGGGGGGGGGGCGGGGATGGACAGCAGACACAGCTGCTGAATCTGGTAAAGCTGAGAAGGAACTGTGTGCCAGGTGAGGGGTGTCCTCACTGCCCCGGAAATTCCTAAAAATGGCAACAGCTGGCGCTGGAAGGCTTCGGCCCCGCCAGGATAACCTTGTTGGTGCTTTGCGACCAAACTGTCAGAAGCAGGGGTCATGGCTGGAGTGAAAAACCCAGGCTCGGCCTGGCATAGGAGCCCGATGACCCTGCACACCTGGTATCGCGTCTCTGCTCCCAGACTCCAGTCTGCCCACTCCCTGCAGGATCAAAGCCCAACGCCAGCTGGGTGGGCCTGAGGCTTCCCAGCCTTGATGGTCCGGGCTTGCTGAGCCCTGTGGACAATAACTCAAAGGGCCCAGAGGACGGCAGCTGCAAGTGCCACCAGGGGAGGCAGCTTGGAGCCTTGGTGTGGGACTGACTCCCTGAGCCTAGTCAGGAGGCCCAGGGGCTGGGTGCGGGCTGGGGTTCCTGTTCTCCCCAGTGTCCCTGTGCACCCTGGGGCCTAGGGGGAAATGGGGGGTCACTTCCTAAAAACAGAGCTGGGACAGGCACTGTACATACTTTCTCAGGTTCAGGTAGCCAGCCTTCTGGATGAGGTTCCGGTTGATCTCAGGGGCAGCCACGTCCAAGTCTGGGGTATACACGGACTCGTCCACAGAGAGCAGCTCCTGCTGGGACATGCGCATCTTCTCTGCTTCCGCTTCCAGCTCCACCTGGATGCTTCAGACGGACAGTGACTGGTCAGTCACTCGACCCTGGCCAGCTCTGCACTGCCAAGAAGCAGGTGGCAGGGGCCTCACTGCACTCCAGGCTGCCTGCCTGCCCTACGGCTGGGGCTCTGGGCTCTGCATGGTCCCGCTCAGGCGCCCAACCTCAGAGGTCACAGGACCTAGCTGTGCAGTGCCCGTAGCGCTTGCTCCAAGGATACCACTGCACGGTGTGCTGCTGCCCACTGCAGTCCCAGCACTGGCCTCAAACCTCCTCCTGCCTCAGCCCTGAGTGCTGGGATGGCAGGCATGGGCCACCAGGCCTCGGTAAGGATCACACCGTGGGGCCCAGATTCAGCAGGGCGGGCAGCAGGCACACAGCGCAGCTGAGTTACCTTTGAACCATGTCCGCCCCAGTGCCGAGGAAGCTGTCCATACTTCTTGAAAACATTTCTGCTCCCTTCTTAAAGAAGTTAATCTGAAAGACAATGGTAGAGTCCTGAAATCACCCCAAGGGTTCCCTAAATGTGGCCCAGCAGCTCTCTACAGAGCTACTACACAGAGCAGGGGGGACTCGCCAAGTCCCAAGGACCAGGGGACGCAGCTGTGTTGCTGAAAGGCCAACGCAAGAGCCCTTCTGTGGGATCTGGGCCTGGAGCTACAGTGGTTCTGGAAATGACCAGCAGCAGCTCTACGTGAGTGCTGAGTACTGACTTCCTGCCTAGCACAGGCAGAGTGTGGTGCTCACACAGGATGTCCCTGCCCATGGCCACCCTGTGACACAGCACACTCAAGCCATGCACAGGACTAGGGTGGTCTGAGATGCTTCTCGCCACAGGGAGATGCTGGGCTAATATCCTCGGAAAGCCTCTTCCCAGGGCACAGGAGCACAAGGGGACCATGTGCAGGAAGGAAAGGCCCCTGCTGCTCCCAGGGTGCTGCGATGGATACTTTCTCTGCCAGGGGACAGTGGCCTCCTGGACACTTGGGGACCACACAGTTTGAAAATGGAAGACACTTGCGTCTCAGAAAGCCTGGAAGCCTGGCCCTCTGCATGATAGCACACGGGAAGAGGGAAACACTAACACTTCTGGGCACCACTCAGAAAAGCTCAGCCTTGAGTTCTGTGGCCGCAGCTTCAGAAAACTTGGGCAGGACGTTGGCAATGGTGCATGTGACATGCCTGGTGGTGGGAGGCCGCGACACAGGGTGGATGCTCACAAGGACTCTCACATGCTGCTGCAGGCCCTGCCTGGAACTGGAAGTTCACCCCGGGGCAGGTGACATACATGTGGGCCTCACCTGAAGGGCACGTGCCATCAGCAGCAGGGCTCTGGCTTCCTCCCTTCTCCCCTGACACCTTGACAAAGTGTGGATGCCAGCGCTCGCAGATACCACGGGAAAGGAAGCCACGCAGGGCAAGTCCTGCCGGGCATCTGAGTCACACAGATCAGTGCTGCCCATGCCACTCTGAGTCCCTGTGCTTTCGAGTGTCAAAGGCTCATCAGCTTTAGGCCTGAGCTGCTGGCTCCCTCCCTGTCATCTTCTCTAGTGTCCTGCACCGCTGGCTTGGGGCTTCTCCAACTCTGGAAGCTCCTCGGCAGGGGCTCCCCTGATCCCTAGAGAACTCTGACCAAGGATGGTGAGGTGCCCCCTTCTGTGTGTACCACGTAGTGCTGACCTGTCGGGGTGACACCCAGCTCGTGAGTATGCGCTCCAAGCCTGGACAAATTTATTACCAGGCCATGGCGAGCAGGCATCAGGGCTGAGTCCTGATGCAGCGCAAACCTGTCTGATGAGCAGAGAGGGCGGGCGGGGTCACTGTGCCGCTCTGGGCTGGTGGTGTGGAGCAGCCTGAGTCGGTCTCCACCCTCTGAGAAGGGTGGGGGCCCTGGACACCCCAACTCCCAAGGGCTGGGGAAGAAGGGAGCATACACCTCAGCACCATCCCTGAGACTCAAGATGTTTGGCAACCCTCCCTAAGCAAAGGGCTGTGGTTTCCAGCAGGATTTAAACACAGGGAAGGGCCTAAGTGGTCCTAGTCCTGAAAGCCGGACACTTTTTACAGGAAAAATGGAACGTGGACCCTCATTCCTCCAAGTAGATGTGCTAGCCACCCAGCAAAGAGGGTGCAGTATGGGTCCTGCACTACACTCCCTTGAAAAGCCTGGGCTGGGACAAGGGGCACAGCACTTGGCCACAAGCCAGAGCCAGCTGGCCGCAAAGCTGTGCCTGGGCCTGTGAGGGCTTCCCCTCCCCCAGCACGCTCTGGGACCGCTGCTCCACTGCAGCCTTCGTGCTTCTGGGACACTAAGTCCTGCACCCTCCCTGGCAGGGCTGGAGGCAGGGACTGTCGGCCCAGCCCACAGAAGGCGCACAGCGGGAGCCTTAACCAAAGACAGCACTGCTCCACAGCAAAGCCACGAGTGCTTGGATCTGGGTGCCATGCGTTGTTACCTAAAGAGAAAGGAGCCCAGCCAGAGCCCAGCCAGTACCTGCCCCGGGTGCCTACCATGAGGATGCTGCCCAGCCCCCAGGGCTCAATCAGGCTTCCCTCAGTGACTCAGAAGGGCCACACTGCTCCCTTTACACATCCCCTCCCAGGCACCAGCTGACAGCAGCCAGCTCCCGTGAACCAAGCACCCCACATTCGGACAGTGGGGTGTGGATGCTTGAGGACCTCTCTGCATCCTTCTTCCCTGACGGAAGGCACATGCTCCTTTTGAAACAGACGTGTTTCACTGTGATAAAAGATGCTGTTACGCGGGCTTCAAAACGTGGCGATTCTATTTGATCAACATTGTCCCTCCTCACACCCCTTTCTGTCCTTCAATCGTCCAGTGAGAGGTGGTTCCAGGTCCCTTTCTTATGGGCCAATGTGCGGTTCTGGAGCCAGGCCCTGTACCTGCCATTCCCTGGCAGTGCAGTCCCCCCTGCAGCTCGCGCCTCCTTTACTCTGGAATGCGATGGAGGAAGTGGCACTGCCCAGGGCTCAAGAGCCCAGACACTTGGGGACACATGGACAGACAGCAGCCCCTAAGGGTGGGCCTGGCCACACGGTCAGTACAGCAATGCACAGCCTGGGGCATAGGCCAGTCTCCCAGCCTGGGAACTCCGGATCAGGCTCAGCCTCTTCTTTTTCTGTATGTAGGACAGGGTCTACAGGGTCTCACTACCTAGATCTGACTTGTAGTGATTCAGCTTTTTTTCAGCCTCCCAGGTGCTAGGATTACAGGAGTGTGTCACCACGCCCAGTCTCAGTCACTATCTCAGCGCACACCTGGCGCGGGGTCAGGATGGCATGCTGGGGATTGAACCCCGGCCGCTGCGCTCTGCCTAAGCAAGCGCTTTAGTCCGCTGAGCTATCTGGACGGCTCTCAGGCGCAGCTTTTAATTGGATCAGAGAAGGGCCAGCCCACTTCCTCCCAAAGAAAGTCTGGGATATGGCCGACACTTGTAGAGCACCTGGCCTCGAACAGCTGGCCGAGATGGTGCGGCTGGAGGCTGCCCGGAGCGCTGAAGCCCAGGCAGCGTCTGGCTGGCTCTGTGACTGCGCTTCGGTTCCTGCCGGTGCCGAGCGTCTCCGCCCTACCTGCCCCTGGGCGAAGCCGATCATGGGCTCCATCATAGCCATCCGCTTCCGGTACTGCAGCGCGTTGAGGGCGCAGTAGTACTGCAGCGCCGACAGGTGCTGCTTGCGCCGCGCAGCCGCCACGTCCTTCCGCACCTCGGCCTTCACCTGGTGCAGAGCGGAGGGCAAACGTCAGGCTGCCTGCTTGGGGCAGTTCTGTAGGAGCACGCGACTTGACTGTCGTTCGGATACTCATTACAGAATTTTTGTGGGGCAGGGGGGATGGCTCAGTAGAATAAGCGCTTCCCTGGCAAGTGCCTGAGTTCAATCCCCAGTTCCGGAAAAAAAAAAAAAAAAAAGAATTTTTGTAACACAGTAATACTTATATAGAGTTCCATCTTAAATCTATTTGCTTATTTTTTCTTTCTTTTTTCTTGAGACCCACTGTGATTATGCAGTTGAGGCAGGCCTTGAGCTCACTGTGTCACCCAGATTGGCCTCAAACTTACAACAATCCTCCTGCATCAGCCTCTGGAGTGCTGGGATTATAGGTGTGCACCACCACACCTGGCTTCCCTCTGAAATTTCTTTTTTTCTTTTTGGTGGTACCAAGAATCAAACTCAGGACTTTGCACTTGCCATGCAAGCACTTATTTCACTGAGCTATCTCCTCTGCCCTCCATCACAAATTTAAAGAAAGTGCAGACTGAAAATCCAAAATCCCAGAGCAACAGCAGCTCTGAATCTACAATGTTGCACACAGGGGAAGTTGACAGCTTTCTGGAGGCTGTGACAGTGTGACACTGCTTTGGAGAACCCCTGGCAGCCACGCACACATGGTTCATCCACAAGCCTGCATTCTAAGGAGATGGCTGTACCCAAGTCAACGAACAGAAATAAAAGATCTATGCATGGGGTCGTTTGCTTTCTCTATCGCAGACAAACACCCAGAAATCAGGGGCTGAAGAATCAGAGTGGACCCTGGGCACAGAGCACCAGGCAGATGGATGGTCCCTGTGGAATGCCACCTGCTCTAGATTTGCCTTCAACAAAGCAGGCTGGAAAGTCAGGGTAGAGAAGCGAGGGCCTCTTTGGCATGCAGAATAATTGTAAGAGAAGAATTTTTTTTTTTTTTTTCGTGGAACCAGGGATTGAATTCAGGCCCTTGTGCTTGCCAGGAAAGCGCTTATTCTACTGAACCATCTCCCCAGCCCATGTAAGAGAAGATTAAGAGACAAAGAAAGCAACGCAAGGCAGTCCCTGTGCCAGGGAGCCCCAAGAGGGCAGAGTCCGAACAGGGCCTGCAGGCTGCTCACCTTCTCGTTCTCCTTCTTTTTGGAAAGCCTGCTGTATTTGGCCATCGCGAGGTCATGGTCTAAAAATAAGAAGAGGGAGGCCGGGAAGGGACAGGCGAGGACCTCCCTTCAGTGTTCCCTCCCCACTGGGGACCCGACCTGGACACCAAGCCTGGGACGGGGCGGGAGCCCTACCGTTGCTGGCAAGTCCAAAGAGATCCTTCAGAGTGCTTATTTCTGCACAAGAGAGAAGAAAACAGCTGAGAGCAAAGAAAAATAAATCCTATCAGCCCCGCTCTACCTTCTGAGTCAGTAAGCACGCACAGCCCATACCCCGGGGCCACTCCAGCCCTCTCTGCCAGGCCTGGCCTGGTGGCCCAGCTCCTGCCCTCACCCATGCCCAGTGCCCCTTCCACTCTGAGGAGCTGGTACCAAGGGGACGCAGGCAGACATGTGGTGGCCAGGTCTGCAGCAACGACCAACCTGGAGATAAACATCAGCTCTGAGTCTTCTGCCCTGACACAAAGGATGGATCGTAACCATCTGTCCTGGGAATGGAATCAGGACCAGACCAAGGGGACAGGAATGCAGGAACTGGGCTGACAACCACCTGCGATGCAACCCGGCATGGTCTGCATGCAACAAGCCGACACAGATAACTATTACCCAACAAGGGTGCGACACCCATGGGGCCTAATGACGGCCTAATAAACCCAAGACAACAGGGTGACAGAGAGCAATAAAGGCCTGAGATTAAAAACAATAGGCTGGGTGTGGTGGAACACGCCTGTAGCCCCAGCACTCAGGAGGCTGAGTCAGGAGGATCATGTGGAGTTCCGGGCAAGCGTGGGCTACCTGGGAAATTCAAAATTATCTTGAACTCTACAGGGAAACCCTGTCTCAAAAAGAAAAGAAAGAGAAAAAAAGAAAAGAAACAAAAAGATCTGGACAGTGAGTGATGTCAGGTCACAATAGACTGATGACAGCCTTGGTCACTATGTGTCCAGTGCCAGGCGTGTGCCAGCCGCCTGGCTACACACTCACCTGGCCCTGCAGGACTGGGGGTTGTTTTGCTCTGAAAATGACCCCCACAGCTCACAGACTGTGTAGAGAGAATCTTTCCACAAGCACAGGGTTAAACTCCAGGTGGGACTAGGTGGCAGCACGGGGGGCACTTGGCGGGGTTGGGCTCTGTTAGGGTTGTGTCTAGCTGTCCTCCCAAAGCCTCCTGCAGTCATGGAGAGGACTTCTAGAGGTCTTGATTCTTTTTTTTTTTTGTGGAACCAGGAATTGAACTCGGGCCCTTGCGCTTGCCAGGGAAGTGCCAATTCCACTGAGCCATCTCCCCGGCCCCTAATTCTTGATCCAGTGCTGGGATTATGGGTGTGAGTGCTACACCCGGCCCTGGGGCAGACCATGTGCATACAAATGTAAGTGGGGAGGAGGCCACAGTTGCAGCTCCTCCCTTTGCGCTTGCTGTTTTCCCCCACCATGAATGGCTGCCCCCTTCCCTGTGCCACTCTGCCCTGAAGCCAGCCAAGTACCGACTGAAATCTCCACAACTGTGAGCTAAATAAACCTTTCCTTCCTTGATTTTGGGTGTAGGGTATTTTCTGTCAGCAATGAGGAAAAAGTAGCTGAGACAGACTCCACGTCACCAGTGAGCGAGCACAGGGAGAAGCGCCCCTTCTGCCCAGCACAGGGGGACTCCGTGCTCACTGTCGCCTGGCTGGTAGGGCGCTGCCACCAGCCGAGCCCCAGCCCGCAGGAACCTCTGGCTTCCGTGAGAGCCCTCAGCATACTGCAGCTCTGCTGTGTGGAAGCCCAGTGCTGAACAGGTCTTCTAGGGCTGGAGCGAAGGCTCCTGCAGTCAGTAATATTTTTCTCGAGTGCTCTTCAAATGTAGCTTGTTTTGGGGGGATTATTTTTGAGACAGGGTCTCACTGTGTAGCTCGGGCGGGCCTCAAACTTGTGGTGATCTCCTGCCTCAGCCTCCCAAGAGCTGGTGCGCCACCATGCTCGGTTTCAAATACAATTTTTTTTTCCTATATTTAGGACAGGGTCTACAGGGTCTACAGGGTCTGCAGGGTCTCACTACGTAGGTCAGACTCATAGTGATTCTCCTGTTTTTTAGCCTCCTAAGTGCTGGGATTACAGGTGTGGGCCAACATACCTAGTCTCAATCGATGTCTCAGCGTGCCCTGCGGGTAGGGCCAGCATAGCACGCCGGGGATTGAACCCCAGCCGCTGCATTGCCTAAGCTGGCACTTTAATCTGTTGAGCTATCAGGCCGGCCCTTCAAATACAGTCTTTACTCTCAAGGTAATGAGCACTTTTCATAAACCAGGAAAGCACAGGACTAAGATCTGGGTTTCCTTTTCTAACATTTTCTCAAGATTACGAGTTTTATTATTATTATTTTCTTAATATTCATTCTTTGATTACTTTGGCTTTCAAGGAGTACAAAACTAATCTGAAGTTCTATTTTAGCTGAAGAACTGAGTCCCTGCACAGACCTCGCTCGTAGCCACCCGGCCTCCCTGCCAAGCCACCGCCATGGGAGGTGGAGTGGGAAACACAGTGACTGCTTAAATTTAAACATTTCATTACAGTGAAAGACAGCATTACGAATCCTCCTCTCGCTTCACACACATCCAGCCCACGACCTTGCCGTGTCTGCAGCAGCTCTGGCCTCCTCTCTCCCCAGGGTCTTTAGCTGTGCTGTCCTGGCTGCCCTGATGTCCTGAATGGTTTGGAATGTCTGCTTTTGTAGTCATTTTGGCTTAGGGAGAAGCCAGAAGTCACACAGAGGCAGATTTGGTGAACAAGGTGGGTGAGGACATAGCATGGGGCTTTTATTTGATAGAAACTGCCAAGTGCTGCAGACAGCAGCAAGAACAGCAGGCTAAGTGTGCGAGGTGGGGCAGGGATCCGAGGGAGGAGGGTGGCATGTGTCATCAGGCCTCGTGTTTTCCAGAGCACACACTGTCCCTGAGGACAGCATGCCTGCCACCATCCCTCACCTCTAACCCTCCCCCCATTCCTCCTGCCCCCTGGTCCGGCAGGTGTGCACACACCACGCCAAGCCTGAAGGCTGCCTCCTGCAGGAAGCCTTCCTGGCTCCTGGCCCAAAAGCAGCCGCCTTCCTGCTCACCCCACCCGTGCACACCTGCGCCTGCAGCCCCACAGGACAGGACAGAGCTCCACTGTGTCCGTCTTCTCATCTGCCTGCAACCTCCTGTGTATGGCCGGGGGGCTGTCTGCTGAGCTGAGGGGGCCTCTCAGGGCCCCCAGTGAGCAGGGCACCTGCAGCAGCAGTCGCTCAGTGCAAGGAGAGGCAGCGGCGCCACTGCTTACCTGTGAGGTCCTTCTCCCGGAACTGGATGACGGGCAGCACCATGGTGTCTGCCAGCTGCTTGGCCAGCTCTGTGTGGAGCGCATTAAGCTGAAAGAAAAGAACTTTCCTGAGGCCAGGTGCGCGTGTGACCACAGACGTGGCTTCACGGCGGCACTGAGGGCTACCAAAAGCGCCTGCTGTGGTCAAACAGCTCCGTTAGGCTTCCCGAGTGAAGAGACCCTCAGACAGGCAAAGGACAGCAGGCAGAGGTGCCGAGCATGAGATGAGGCTGGGTGGGGACACACCTGTGAGCCAGCACTCTGGAGGCTCAGGCAGCAGGCCCGGAAGTTGGATGTTAGCCTGGGCAACTTGGCAACTTATCAAAACCCTGTCTCTAAATAAAAAATTTTAAAAGTTGGAAATGTAGTTCTGCATGAAAGTTTTAAACGAGAGAAAGAGAGTCAGAGTCAGAGACAGAGACAGAGAGACAGAGAGAGACAGAGACAGAGAAAGTGAAAAAGAAAGAAATGGAAGGAAGGAAGGAAGGAAGGAAGGAAGGAAGGAAGGAAGGAAGGAAAGAAGAAAGAAAAAAAAAAAAAAAAAAAAAAAGCCAGAAGAGCCACAGGCTTCCAGCTGCAGGCACGTGAAGTGCACCCATGGCATCTCTTAGCCACCTGTTCCCAGCAGCTGCCCCTGCCCAGAGTCGTCCTTCCCCGCAGCCTCCCTCGCAGCTCCTGAGGGATGGTCACGAGTCCACCACCACTACTGTGTGCAGCTCTGTGCTCAGGGCTGACAGTGGGTGCCCAGGCTTTCCTGCTGCTGCCCCTGTCTCCAGGTGAAGATACCACGATACAGCGGACCAGGTGGCTTCCCTGGGCCACGCGCTTCCTCCAGGGCAAACCTCGGTGCTGGCCATTTCCTTCCAGTCTCCTCCCTAGGACCCAGGGCTTCTGTCTGCCCCTGCTGGGGGGCTGCTGCTCCAGAGGGACTGGGCTGGGCCGGCTTCCCTGCACGGCTGCCCTGAGCACGCAGGCAGAACAGAGCACAGCCGGGCACACACCCCGAACGCCCTCTGTCAGCAGAGGTGGTAAGGACTACCACTCAGGTCTGCACCAAAAAGCGCCCCCACAGAGCCCTTGCTTTGGGGACCTGGCACCCAGAGCTCTCCGGGACTCCAGGGACGATCTCAGTCCACAAACACGAGCCACATCGATCTCTACTTTTGTTGTTTCATCCTTTAATCCTGGAGTTGAAGTATGCGTCTTGGAGATTTTGTGGCCTGGTCCAGGGCTCCTTTCCTTCCTCTAGGTCTAGGCCTGTGGGCCATCTCGGGGCTGGGGAGATTGCTCAGTGGAATAAGCGCTTCCCTGTGGGGCATCTTCACTGTCCAGAAGTCCTGATCACGAGTGCAGACAGGAGGGCAGCCCAGCGATGGGCTCTGTCCAGTGGCCACCCTTCCTGACTCTCCAAGACCAGCGCGGGAGGAGCCCACCCAGGCTCTTGGGTACTCACTGCTGAGGAGCCTCCTCCCGCCGCCCAGCAGCGTGTGATTCCTTCTCTCTTCCTCATCCTCTGTCCATGCCAGCACACACTTCCCAGAGCCAGGCAGTGGGTGGATACTGACCCACGGGAAAGTGCGCACCTGAATCCCAACCCTGCCACTTCCTAGCAGCAGGGTCACAGGGCACCTTCTGTCCCCCTACCTGGCATCTGATGCCAGTTCCTGGCACGGAGCTTATGATACCCTGGGACCTCCTAGAGGATGGGGGTGCCCTCCGCAGCAGTTCTGGGGGGTGTCAGGGCACACACTGGTCACCACCAGCTCAGGCCAAGAACCCTGGCCCCCTGGCATCTGTGCAGGGTGTGGTGAGCGCCAATCCACCCCACACAGTCAGAAGCATGGGGGCCCCCGAACCGGCACCCCGAGCTGGGCGGTCTTGAGGGGCTGAGCCCTTAACTTTCAGGCTCCCTTGTGGTAGGCAGTACTGGGGTGGTGTCAACATGGGGGACCATGCAAGCCAAGTGTGAGCACAGCCAGAGTGGCAGGCAACAGCTGGCCCCCTTGCCCTGCTCAGTGGGATGTGGGCCAGAGCTCAGTAAAAGCCGGAGACTTCTCTGTTCTTCTAGCTCCACCCCAGGGTCTGACTGATAGCAGCGGGTCACATGTTTGTTGAATGAGTGACAGACTGCTGAACTATTCGCTGAATGAATGAAAACACAGAAGCATAACTTTATACAAATATCAGCGCCTCACCCTGTGCACTAGCAGGACGGCCGAGTGGTGCCTGTGTTTCCAATCTAAGTACACACCGCAGACTCCTTGGAAACGGGACACATCTACCTGCCTAATTCTGCAGTGTTCTGCCAGGCGCCGGCACTACTTGAGTTCTCATGATTTTTATATTAGGATGTGCACACGTTTCCTGTAGCAATCGTGGTTTTCCCAGTGTCTCGCATGAATTACACAATACAGCTATAAGAACCACTGTTACCAAACCCTGCCAGGGGGTGGGACCATGACCCCCAAGAGGAGGCCTCCCAAGAATGTGTGGGTGCTTTGAAACAGGTCTTCGAGAATGGAATAAAGGGCTGCAAAGTCAGGTCACCCCGGATTTTCGGAGTGGCCATAAATCAGTGTCAGGAGCTCTCATCACAGGAAAGACAGACAGAAGTAAGAAGTCAGTGAAGTCAGAGTCAGAGACTGGGGTGCCACGGCACCGTAGAGCCACCACAAGCCGGGTGAGGCCTAGAGCCTTTGGGGTGCAAGGCCCTACAGACACCCAGCCTCGGCGCTGAGAGGAATGCCATTTTTGCTAAGGAACTTCCTAAAGCCACCCCGGGGTATGCACTTGCCTGCCTAGGACCCTGGGGTCCTAGAAACCTCACTTTGGAAAGCCTTTCCTCTCAGACCCCACTCAGGGTCCCATCAGGTCAGGAGCTGGGCACAGCAATGACAACTCAAGACAGCGCAGATATTTCACTCTGGCAATGAGCGGGCCGACACCAGCAGGAGGCAGGCAGACACTTCCCAGGTTGCTCTTACCTCGTCCACCACCTTGGAGAAGTAGTGGAGTGTCGAAATGACTTCTTCGTCGCCTTTGCCAAGGGCAAAATTCTAAGAGCGAAGGACAAAAGAGCCAGGTGTGACCTGAATGCAGGAGTTCTGCCCCAGACTGGCCACCAGCCCCGGCACCCATGTCGCCCTCCCCAAGCCAGCGGCCTGCGCCCACCCGGGGGGGGGGAGTCGGCCTCACACCGCAGGGCCACCCTTACCTGCTTCTCGTATGCCAGCAGCTGCCTGGAAAGCTGCTGGGTAGCCAGGCACATTTCATTCTACAGGGAGAAGAGACACAAAGGCAAGCAACGTTTGTCATGGAAAAGGGTCATCTCAGAGCGTCCCCCTACGTGTGCGTGCCCGTGAGTTGAAAGAGCATCATGTCCAGGCATCATTTAGAATGAGATTGAGACAGCAGAGGGTTAAAGCCATCTCACAGCATGGCCACTCCACGGGCCACAGTGGAACCACCTCTCTCCCTCCGATGCCCCCAGAAGCAGGCACCACAGAAGGAGGTCAGCGCAGGCCCTGGGGTCCCCTCTGCTCTGGCCTCGTCCTTCACAGCTGAGCAGCCCTGGCCTGAGGCCAGGAAGGCAGCACGGTAACAAACCACAGCATGTCCTTGACACGGCGGGCACACACAGAGGCCTGGCACAGACGGGGTGCAGCCAACGGCTGCACGGATGAATGAATGAACAAAAGAACAGACGAGTGAACAGCCTGCAGGAGGTACGAGAGCATCTAAATTCCAAGTTCACAACTGTCCCAATGAAATCATCCCAAATGAGGGTGATGAAACACAGAGCTAAGAGGGTGCCGTGGCCTGCCACGCCCGTGTCCTTCTACAGGGCCACGTAGCCGCTGTGCAGGGCAGTGTTCCTCTGCGGTATCGCTGAGCCCCTTATCCCGTGTGAGCAGCACCAGTAGGAGCAGGGTCTGTCCTCCACTGTGGCCTCCATGCCAGGATGCAGCCCTAGGCCATGTCTGCCACCACATTGCTCTGACCACAGCTGACACCAGGAGCACGGTTCTGAGTGCTCATTCGGCTTTCAGATGAAGAAGCTGAGGCACGTGCAGTGGGGCTGCCCACTAAGGCCACGCAGCCGGGAGTGACAGGGACTGGGACCCTAGACTCTGCACTCTGGGATGTGCTGAGATTAGAAAACTAAGGCCTGTGCACCACACTGGTCCTCACGCTCTCTGGAAAGTGCTGGCATGTCCCACGGCCTCGGCCCCAGCTATTCACTGCTGTAGCTGCAGCAAAAATGCAACGGAAATGACGAGCAGGCCACCTCCCAGAGGGACTTGTAGGGGAAAGTGAGAGGCCAGCACAGGGCCCGAAGGTCCCAAGCGCCACAGCTCGGCCACCCCACCCCAAGAGGCTGTTCCTCAGCTTTGGTTCCTTAGGCACAAGGAACACTTTCTATTCTAATTCACTCGTTCCCTTATCTGAAAATGTCACCCCCATATCTGCACACCCAGCCTTTACAGACCTGGGAAGTGTCAACTCGAAGAAGAGTCCTGTCGCTTCCTCACTGCTGACACACAATGCCCCAGCCCCGCAGCTTACAGGAGGAGAGGTTTATGTTGGGTCAAGGCTTTTGGAGCACTCAGCCCAGTCAGTGGGCTCCGATGTGGGACAGGGCGGCCGGGCAAGGAGAGCGGCTCTCGGCGTGGTGGGCGGGCAGCAGGGAGGAAGAGCTGCAACCCGCATCCGACCCGGCTGCCCTTCTGGCAGGAAAGCTCTAACTGAAATCCCATGAGCACCCAAAGATCCTGCTGTGACCACACTAGGTACGAAGGGACATCTGGCTATAAGCTATGATGACCCCCGACCTGGACACCCAGTGAGGCCCGCGGGCCACCTCAACTCTTCAGTGCTTGCTGGCCAGTGTGCCCCATGTCATGGGAATGCTGCCCAGGACACTGTCCACATGGATGGCCCTCAGCACGAGCGACATGCAACGGCTACCTTCCACAATGGCCATGTGCCGTGCTTCCCCTGGACCTGCCCCCTGCAAATGCCGCATCTCTCGGCAGCCACGAAGGCAACTCGGGTTCCCTCGGTGGCGGTGATCACCCTGAGTTGATCACACAAGAACCCACTTCCAAGAGGCCTGTCACCCACCCAGGAGGAAGGCCGTGACAGGCAGGCCTGGGAGCTGGATTCGCTGTACTCTCACACTTCCTCTGGGACACAAGGTTCCCAGCCTGGGCGCAGCGCTGGTCCATGGCCCACGCCCAGGGAGGAGTGGGGACGGAAGCTACACAGGTCTCGCTGCCGGCACCTGCAGAGCCGGAGCTGCAGGAAAGAGCCAGTGAATTAGGTAACCATAGAGACGCAGCCAGCTGCTAGCACCGTCTTCCGTGCACTGGACATGGTGCGCGGCACCTTCACACGGGCTCACATTTGCCCGACAGTCACCCACGAGGCAGGTACTGTTCTCGTCCTGTGTGGCAAGCCAGGATGCTGAGGTTTACAGAGGAAGCCCACAGCTTAGTACAACTCAGGTGCGGGGACATGGAAAGGCAGGGTTGGCACAGGGCAGCGAGCCCTGGCTGGAGGGAGGAGGAGGGAGGTTCCCCCAAAGCCCAAGCTCCCGACCCCCTGTGCTGCCAGCTGGAGCCCAAAGCTGTGCAAAGGGTGATGGAAGAAAGGCAGCGGATGTTCAGAATTTTAAGACTTTAAAAAGTAAAAGACAGATCTTTAACTTCCCTCAAAGCTCTCCCTGCTGCTTCAAACATGCTTATCCCACTGTTCCTGCCCCTGTCTGCAGCAATTCTGTAGTCTTCTCTCTTGAGGGTCTTTAGCTGCTTTCTGGCTGCCTTGATTTTCCTGAACTGATTTGAAACATTGACCTTCCTTGTCATTTTGACCTTGGGAAAGAGCTAGAAGCCACGTGGTGGCAGATCTTGTGAAAAAGACGAATGAGGACTACTATGGCTTATTTCCGGGTGTGCTCCCAGGTAGAGCTTTGGGGGATGACTGGATCATGGGTGGGGACCCTGGATCAGTCCACCATGAGTTTAGACTTGGGTGTGGTGCTGGGAGCTGAAGCCTGGTGTGAAGGGGCGGCCCATGTTGGTGTGGCCTGGACGCGTCAACCTCCCTCCTCCTCCCTCCAGCCAGCGCTCACTACCCTCCATCGACTGCCCCTCCTCTGCCCTGCCGCCCTGCCTCCGAGCCGGCTGACCACGGGCTAAAACCACTACAGGCTGTGAGCCAAAATAAACCTTTCCTGCTTTATCTGTGGGTGTGGGTATTTTGTGATAGCAGTGGGACAGGAAAACAAGGACACCACGATGTCGTTCCAAGCCTGCCATTCTCAAGGATGGCACTTGGCAGAAGGGTTCACTATATTTTGCTCACGCCTCATAAGACACTCACAAAAGGCTTGGAGAACTGCTTCAGAAAGTGGCAAGGATGATGGACAAGTGTGTCAGAGGGAGGGTAAGAGTGTGAGCAGCGCAGGTGAGGGGCGCTCCGGCCTCATGTGTCCTTTACTGCAATCAAGTTTTATTTAAACATTAGCTGTGTGTTCGGATCAGCCCTCAGACCTAGCTCATAACCAGGGGAGCAGGAGGCCTTAAGGCCTGCAGATGCGAACATGAACTTCACGCTTTCCCAGCCGACGCCCAACAAAGAGGTGGCCTAACACTCAGATTCTGCGAGGAGGTCAAGGTGACTTCTTCTCCACAGTGCTGGGGACAGAGCCCAGGGCCTCCCACCCCTGCAGGTGCCCTGCTGCTGACTACAGCCTGGCCTGGAGCACCCTGCATGAGGCCCCGGGACGGCTCCTGGCTCCACTTTCTCTGCCGAGTTCAGCACTGCAAAAACCAAAGCAAGCCAAAAAGATGGCACCCGAGTAGGCTTCTCCTAGCAGCTCCTGGGCAGAGAGGACCTCCCGGGGCTGTTGCCAAGACACGGGGCAGGCAGCCAGCAGGCCCTCAGCTAGAGAGTGTGTGCCGCACTACGGCACAGGAGCCTCCTAACTGCCGCTGCCCCGAGCCCACCCCCGCGCTCATGGGCCCTCCGTCCTTGGCAGTCTGGCATGGAAAGGCGGGTGGCAAGGAGTCAAAAAGAATCGCGCCTCCAGTGTGGGTACCCCAAGGAACTAAGGGGATCCAGGCTCGGGCGACAACAGCATCCACGTCCAGGCGGAGAGTCCCGTGTTCACACCCTCACTCAGCACTGCCCTCCCTGCCCTAAACCTGGTACTCTCAGGGACTCAGAACCGCTCCCATTTGGAGAGCAAAGGCTCAGCAGTCGAGGCCAGAAAGCAAAAGTGACCCAGGAACTGTTGAGGCGATCATCGGGACCCAACAGGGACTGCAGAGAGTGTGGCAGGACCCCCAGGGTGGGAAGGCCCCAGGCCCCAGGGCAGAAGGACACCCAAGGCCAGGCAGGCAGCCGGGGCTTGTCCCAGGATCCTTGGGGACAAGGTTCCCGGGCCACTGTGAGCAGGGCGTGGTCAGCACTCTGGGAGGCTGAGGCAGGAGAACTACAAGTCCCAGCCCAATCTGGGCAACTCAGCACTTCTGTGAGAGCCTGACTCAAAATAAAATACAAAGAGCTGGGCTGTTGCTCAGCGTGAAGGCCTTGAACTCAATCCTGCTTTGGAAAAACAAAAGGGGTGGGGGAGGGAGGCCCATGGTGGGGACTGACAGGCGCGGCCGCCTGGGGGCCTGGAGCTCAGGAGCCTCTGAGTCAGGCAGAGCTTGGCATCCTCTAGGCCACGGGCTCCCGGGCTCCCCGTGAATGGCACCATGGCTCTGACAACCGACAGGGAGCCCGGGCCACCAGACTGACCTCCTCAGAGCCATACAGCATGGCCGCTTCCAGACTGAAATACAGGGCTGTGGGCTCGGGGTCTTGGGCCGCACCCCATGCATTCACCACTGTGAAGGTTGTCTGTGCCAGCCAGTCCCTACATACCCTATGGCTACAGTGCCATGGGAGGGGATGGGAAAGGACCACGGCAGCCATGCGTGGGCACAGCTCCACAAGGAATGCAATCGTGTGGCCTACAAACGCGGACTAAATAACACAAAGAAAAATTAAAAACAGAGATATGTAAAATGGGTATCAAATAGTGGAACAAGGAAAGACCCACTGGGGTGTGGAGCAACACGGTGGACACATGTGTCACAGGGCCTGCACTATGACCAGAGGGAGGACAACTCTGGACTCAAAGGCTGGGTTCGGGCTTTGCCACTCTTCAGCTGCGTGGCCTCCAGCTGCTGCCATGAGTTTCCTGCCTGGGAGCTCACCCACTCCTCTGTGAAAGGAGACCACATGGAGGGGCTCCCTGGGTTGGCATGTGGCTCTTCTGTGCACTACTGTAAACACAAAGCAGGGAGCAGTAGCATACACCCTTAATCCCACCCCTGGGGAGGCTGAGGCAGGAGGACCCTGTGACTTCCAGGTCAGCCTGGGCTCAGTGAGTTCAAGGCCACCCTGCACTGCATAGCAAAAGCCAAATAAAGGAAGGAACAAAAATGCTGAAAGCCACTTATAGCCTTCAACTTTTCTCCAGAGCTTAGCCAGATAAAATGTACAATTTCCCCAAGCCTCTTTCTCTCACTACGAGCCAACAAACATTCCGGGTATCATGATCCAGAAATTTACCACATAATGTTTTAAATATCTCTTATGAATGTTTATCTTTTATCAGCAGCACAAAGCTAGTTGCAACACAAACTATGTCTTGCTAGGTGCCTGCTCTTTAAAGTGAAACTATAAACCTCTCATTCAATGTGGCCAAGCACAAAGTCCCCAAGGAGCAAAAGGACCAAGACAACGCAGCTCAGAAAGAAACTGAATGCAAATACCGAAAACTATCACTATCTTAAAACACCAAAGCTACTGGTCAAGATTCACATGTTTTCCTCTGTAAATTAAGAAGGAACAAAACACAACCTCTAAGCCTTCAAATAAGCCTGGCGAAGCAAGTGAGCCGCCCCGCGGGTGTGGACCCGCATCTGCACAGCAGGTGCTGCGGGAGCCAGGCAGCAGGAGGCTTCCGGCCCCGAAGCCCCGTGACGGTCACGCGCTGCGGACTCAAAGCGGCTCCAGCCTCTCGGAATGCAAGACCTACTTAATTTTGGCAAAACCTAGTTTTTTGGCTCACAGGGAAAAAAATTCATGAGAGAGAAAAAGAGCTTCAGCTCTCCAAATAAAGGATTGAGCAGGCAGCAGAGGGCAGCCCTGAGGTGCGGGCGGCAGCAGGCAGGGAGCACCGTCCCTGTGTTGGAGGCCTTTCGCCTTCAGGAGGAGACAATTCAATCCGTGACAACATTCAAATTACTGGCGCACCAGTGAGCTCAGACATAAAAGTCCAGGGGAAAAGTTCTGGGATATCTAGGGAAAACACAAAGCACCCACACAGATCATCAAGGCTTCAGAATAAGAGCTGGCCCACAGCTCACGTTCCTCAAGCCTAACCCAGACAGACAGGCGAGCAGAACCTCAAGCGAGCACACTCTCCGGGCCTTCGCGCTGGCCCCCGTCAGTGCACTACTCGGGTGGGGGTGACCGTGCACCATCGAGTCCGCAGGTCGCAATCTCTGGCCTCGAGTCCTGATCCAGTTCTGACAGGGCCTCCTCACGCCCATGTCCCCAGACACCTCTGGACCAGTCTCTCCTGCTAGGGGTGCGCAGGCATCCTGGCCACACCGCATATCCACACACTCATGCGCACACACGTATGCCTGCCTCTCTCCACGTTCTCTTGTCTGTCGCCACGTCTCAGTCAAAACTCTCTTTAAATCTATTTTTATTTTTCATTGACACGCAGTGGCTGTACATGTGGAGGACCCTGCAGTCTGCTGCCCCATCCAAAGGCACGATGACAACATCTGCCACATGCACAGGCTGGCTGTGGGGTTTCCACAAAAGAATCCATGCCAGAGCCCCGAAACTGCCGAAGCGCCAGCTGGCTCGGCTCTGACCATCGCCTTCCTTGGGCCTCTGTGGTGACGGCCTGGACACTGAGTGTGCCCAGGGCCCATGTGTGGAAGGTTCAGTCTCTACCTGTGTCCACTGAGAGGCGGTGGAACCTCAGGGGTGGGGCCCAGCTGTAGGCTGAGGCCCCTGGAGTGCCCTAGATGGGCACACTGGGCCCTAGGCCTGCCCCCACTTCTGGCTACCCTGAGATGGCAGCTTCTACACACCAGGACACACAGTCTCACATGTCCAAAGCCACAGGCTGAGATCGGGGCGGGGCATCCCAAAACCAGGAGCCAAAGCGAAGCTCTCTGCTTCTCCACCAATTTCCTCAGGCGTCCGTCACAGCTCCACAAAGCTGGTGAGGCACCTTTCTACTGCTGCTGGCGTCCGTGGCCCTTCCCAGAGGACGCTCCCTGTGAAAAAGACAACACCGTTCCCGCGTGGGAGTGACAGGCCCTAAGACAGTGCGTGACGACACGAGGGTGGTGGCAATGTAATAGCAGCCGGATGGGATTAGGAAGGGCCATGGTTGCCCAGGTGGTGCTCAGCCTCAGAGATTACCAGGGAGAAGCAGAGCCAGAAAGTCACACGGCTCGGCCGAGAGGAGTCACAGGGGGCTCGACTGCCCACACTGCGACGGGCAGCATAGCCCTGCATCTGAGGCTCACCAAGCTCCCTTTAGAAAGTGACACACGCGGCATGTTTCGATCCTGAAAAGCTTCCTCTTTGCTGCTCAGCAACTTCTTTTTCATGCGCTTGCAAGCCTGAGGCATTTGTTCCTCAAAAGAAGGCCTCCACCCCACACCCAGAGCTGTGGCTCCAGTCTTTGAGGGGAGCCCGAGAGGCACACTGCCCTTATCCAGGCCCCCACGCTGAGCCCCCTCATGCACTTGTGGTCAGGGAGACCCCTTTGGGGTTGAATTTAGTTCTTTTCTTTTTTTGTGTGTGTGTGTGCAGGGTCTCACCACGCAGCTCCGACTGGTAGTGATCCTCCTGTTTTCTGCCTCCCCGTGCTGGGATTACAAGCATGCACCACCACACTGGGACTCAGTGCACCTGGGGGCAGGGCTGGCACGGCATGTGGTGCCAGGGATTGAATCCCTGGCCCCTGAGCTGGCCTAAGTGAGCACTTAGTCTGTTGAGCTATCTTGCTAGCCCTTGTGGTTGAATTTTTTTTTTTTTAAAGTTTTATATCTTATTAAGATAATTTCATGTGTTTTCCCCATTTAGGCTTTTTTTTTTTTTTTAATTTTATTCATTTCTGTGTGTGTATGTGACCGGCTCAGCCCACCAGGGGGCGGGGCTGGCTGGCATGTGGTGCTGGGGATTGAACCGTGGTCCTTGTGCTTTAGCTGAGCTTGTTCTAAGTAGGTGCTTTAGACCACTGAGCCATCTCCCCAGCCATGGTTGAATTTTTTTAAAAAAAGCTCAAAGCAAAGGGCCAGCCAAATAGCTCAGCAGATTAAAGCACCTGTAAGCAGGCACAGGGGCTGGGGGTTTGAGCCCTGGTCCTGCCTTGCCAGCCGCACCCCCAGGGTATGCTTAGATGGCAACTGACTGGGCGTGGTGGCGCAAGCCTGTAATCCCAGCTCTTGGGAGGCTGAAAACAGGCAGATCACTATGAGTCCGATCTAGTAGTGAGACCCTGAACATCCTGTAGATCCTCCCCTCCCAATAAAAAAGTTCAAAGCAGTTAGAAGTCCTTCTCAACTAGTTCTTGTTATAGGAAAATGACTCTTTCTCAAGGAGACTGTCTTTTTTTTTGAGGTGAACAGAACTAAGTAAAATAATTCTGATTTTACTTCAAATTTATAAACTTTTTTTTTTTTGTGGAACCGGGAATTGAACAAGGGCTCTTGCGCCTGCCAGGGAAGTGATGGCGTATTCCACTGAGCCATCTCCCCGGCCCCTTCAACTTTTTTTTGAGACAGGGTCTCACTATGTAATTTGGACTAGCCTTGAACTCACAATGGACCTCACAGGGACCCTCCCACCTCAGCCTCCCAAATGCTAGGATTACAGGTGTGTGCCACCTGTGCCTGGTTAAACATTTAAAAACTTCAAAAAATAATTTTTTTAACTATTGTTCTGAATGGGATTTCTCACCCCCCAGGGAAGGGCAGACTTACCTGGGCCCCGTACACTCGCTGCATGGCCTGCAGCAGCTGGTTGGTGTAGATGGTGAGCGTGCCAGCGTCCTCCTCAAAGACACTCAGCAAGGAGCGGGTCTGCAGGGAGAGGGAGACGGGGAGGGGTCAGTCTGCTTCTCCAAGTCAAAGTTTGCATGTGCACGCAACAGGGAGGGATGGAGCCTGGGAGTTCTCTGGTTTTCCTCTCATAGGTGAGGAGCTACAAGATAGCTCCTTGTCTTTCGTTTCCTTCCTTTTTTCTTTCCTTCTTTCCTTCTTTCTTCCCTCCCTGCCTCCTCTCTCTATCCTTTCTTTCAGGTTTTTTTTTTTTTTTTTTTTTTTTTGTGATACAGTCTCACTATGTAGCCCAGACTGGCCTCAAACTCCCAGCGATCCTCCTGCCTCAGCCTCCTGAGTGCTGAGATGAGGGGCGTGTACCACCACACCCAGCAAGGGCTTCCTTTCTGAACCTTTCAACGCTCAGAGAGAGCCAGACCGGAGGCAATGTGTGCTTGGCTCCAAGAAGGAAAAGCAACTGCTCGAACCTTAAGACAGGTGGGGCAGGGCGTGGAGGCGGATGCCTGCATCCACTGTGCTGGGCAAGGCCTGCGCTACACCGTGGACAGACAGACCAAGACTGAGGGCCAGGTCTGCCTGCCCGTCAGCCCCACCTCTGCGCTGGTGAGGTTCTGCCAATAAAACATTGTCAGGGACACAACAGAGCCTCCACAGGGACGAAAGGCAGGGCCATCTGTGTGTGGCCACCCTGCAGCCGCAGGGCGCTGTGTGACATCCTGTGGAACATTTAAGATGCCATGGGCCAGTTCCCTGGTTTTTGTCTTATTTTATTCAATCAACTCACAGACTTGGGGACATGAGTTTCACAACCAGCCCCATCCTTCAGGAGGGCCACTGATGGGGTGCAGCTCCTGGGCTAGGGCGACCTTGGGTGGGCTGGAGCTGGTGCGGGGCATGCACTAGCACCGAGACATGTGTGCACAGCGGGTGGCTTAGTCTCCTGTGCCACGGTGTCACCGAAGGGTGCCGCGCCAGGACATCAGCAACTGTGTCAGCCCAATGGGAATCACAAAGGAGAGGCGATGCTGGCGGTGTCTTAACTCAGAGAAGCCTGCAGGCCTGGATGGAGTGGGGTTACAGAAAAGCCCTGCGCCCTGCGGTACCCAAGTCCACAGAGACCAGCTCATGGGCCATTGTCCCCTGCAGATGAATTTCCAGTTTGTCCTTCTGCATCTGGCCCAAGGCAGAGGACAGGGCATCTGTGTTGCTGCCGAAGGGGTCCCCTGTGCATCCACGTGCTGGGCCCTTGAGCCCACTCACTTGGCCTCAACTTTGCCTACAAACCCTGGGCCCTCCTAGCAGTGTGTGCTCCTCCTGTTGGGCAGGGCGGCCAGCTAACGTGTCCCCAGGGCCATCCAGCACCAGCACAGGAACCACGAGGCACACAGCAGGTGACCAAAGCAGCTCTCGTGAGCATGAACCAAAAGCCTAGCACTGGGACAGTGCACCACTCCTGTCAGAAGATTTCTCCAGCTCTCTTTCTTTCTTTTTTTTTTTTTTTAATGGAACTGGGGATTGAACTCAGGCTTTTGCGCTTGCCAGGCAAGCACTTATTCTACTGAGCTATCTCCCCGGCCCTTCTCCAACTTTCTAAAATTAAAAGCTAGCCAGACATGGTAGCACATGCCTGCAATCCCAGCTGTTGGGAGGCAAAGGCAGGAGCATCACCATGAGTTTGAGCCCAGCCTAGGCTACATAGTGAGTTCAAGACCAGCCTGTACTGCACAGCAAGACCTTGTCCCCCCACAAAAAAAAAAAAAAAAAAATTAAATTAAATTAAAATCCACAGTCCAAAATACAGTTTACACCAGGGCCTGAACAAAGGCTTCATCAAATAATATCTACAGAATGAGTGTGCATTCTGATATTTTCCTCTTTTCTTTTATTCCATTCATTAACAAAAATGACAACCCGCACATGAGCAAAGACACCGAGCTGGAATTCTTCATTCCTGAAGAACACACACTGCGGAGACATTCATGCACCCTGCGTGGTCTCTCCCCCAGCCGGCCACTGTGCCTGTGTCCCCACCTCCAGCTGTGCTGGGAACACAAGTCACCCTCCAAAACAACTCAAGTCGCCTTGTAAAACATTTTATTTTGAGACAAGGTCTTGCTATGCAGCCCAGAATGGCCCTGAAGTCCCGGCAATCCTCCTGCCTCAGCCTCCCGAGCACTGGGATGACACATGAGCCACCTCGCCTGGCTTCCAGGGGCGATTTTTATTTCCAGTCCAAACAGGCTCAGACAGGGTGAATATCCTGCCGTGGGCCACATTCAGGAGAATTCCATCCTTTCTGTGCTAGCCACCCTCTCCGAAGCGTCTGAGGCAGGACTTGGGGTGGCACTGCTGTACCTCAGAGCAAAATCAAACTGAGAGCTGCCCAGTCAGAGAGCCCTGGACATTCTCAACAGCTGGGATAGTGAATGTTCTCATTTTCAGAGAGCTGATTATGTTACAAAGCGTCAAGGTTAAAAACAAAGTGCTCATACGCACACGGAGCAAGATGCTAACAGCAGCGAGCCGCGTGCCTCTGCAGCTGAGTCCAGAGCGAGCTGCTGCTGTGTCCCCTTCGACCCTGGCTGCAGGCACACGCTGTGCTGAAACGGTGGCCTCCTTATCTGTCCCCTGACGCGGGCAGGTGTGCCTGTCCCCTTCATGGTCACACTCCCTGTGGGCAGTGCCAGGACAGAGACTCCAACGCAAAGCACCTCCAACACCCACCAGTCCCGAGGGAGAGCAGGACAGCGCCCGCGTGCGCACACAGACCAGCTCTGTCTCCACACCCCAGCGCTGCAAGCCCAAGAGGAGGAAATGAATAGCCGCAGCTGAGGGCGAGGCCCCATTCGGCTCCTCCTGGGCCACTGGGTTCAGATACAAAAGCTTTTGTGCACCTTTCCTGTGTCCTCTGTAACCTGGTTGCCAGAGCAGCCCCCCGGCCGGCCGCTGGCAGCCAAACCAGAGGACGCAAACAGCGCACGAGTTCTTAGGATGCTTCTTCCTCGAGAAACATCATTTTAGGTCAGCAGTGACAGCGAGGTTGGGGGTGAGGCAACTGGGTATCTGCAGTGATCTCTGCCTCTGAGCTGGGGCCTGGCTTCCCCTCCTGCTGCTGTCATGTTGGCATACCCCATCTTGGGCATGCTATTTAGCTCTCCACCCTACCGGTCACTTCATAGAGGGCCTATGTCAAACAAGGGCTGGGAGAGTTCGTGAGTTCACACCATAAAGCTCTGGAACAGTGGCGGGGCCCAGGCCTTCGCCGCTGCGTGTATTCTTTTCTGATAACATGAAGGAACTGTTTCCAGCTCCACATCCGTGACTCTCTGGAGTGCGGGGCCGTGTTTGGCACACACCATGCACCTGAGAGGGCCACGTGCGTTCTGGTGACATTAGAGGCCATCCTACCATGCAGCCTCTCCTCTGCAGCAGCACACCAAAACCTCAGTGGGTGACAATCAAGTCTCAGCACAATAACTAACTTCCTACATTGAAAGGAACATTGAACCTGGCATGGTGGCGCATGCCTGGAATCCCAGCACTAGGGAGGCTGAGGCAGGAGGAACTCCAGGCCAGCCTGGGCTAGCTAGTGACTTCAAGGCCAGCCAGAACTGCAAGAGAGGCTCTGTCTCAAAGAAAACAATTTGAGAAACAAACTTTAAAAAGGAATGTTAAGCAGGGTTGGCAATGCCTCTGAACTGTTCCTGCACACAGGCTCGAAGTTATAAACTCTGCGGATACCACAAGACTTCGAGCTTCTACAGGACCTGGAGGCCACCCGCTTCAGGTCCTCATCCTACAGAGGGAGCAGGGTGGCAATGAAATCACTTGCCCAAAGCACATGACACACAGGTTACAGCTGACATCGCAGCCCGGCTGTGCTGACTCCTCTCCTGTCTTTCTCATTCCTCAGAGCTGAGCAAACCCCCTCAACCCGCAGAAGCAGGGCCTGCCTGACTCTGTCTTTCTCGTTCCTCAGAGCTGAGCAAACCCCCTCAACCCGCAGAAGCAGGGCCTGCCTGACTCTGTGACAGCCAAAGCTTCAGCCCGCGATCTGTTGGCCAGGACAGGTGGAGCTCAGAGCAGCAGCTCCTCCTCGCTGCCTAGGTGTGGCTAGGAAAGCGGCGCATCCTGCACCCAGGATACCCACCAAGAGGATGGGCAGGAACTTCACACTTAGGCTCAGACGCCACTCAGTGGGGCGATAAGTGAAATACTCACTCCCACGGGGCTCTGATCCAAGCACCCCATGTCCAGAGCTGCATAAGAGCCGCCTTTGAGAAGGCGGTCGGCCCTGAGGATCTCAGCTCACACAGGAAGAAACCACAGTTTGCTTCTGTGGGGTGGGGGATCACAGAACACAGCACACAGGGTGCCCACCTGTGGCTCAGTCTGCAGCAGAGATGGACACTGCACGTAGGTAAGGACAAAGGCCCCCCAGGCAGGGCTGGGCCAGGCCACCCCACCAGAGAAACAGGGAGGGAACCCAAAGGGGCAATTGAGATGACAGGCTACAAAAGATGCCTATGTGTGTGTACAGGTACAAATTTGCTATGCTGCATGTGATCATTGTGCATATCTAATTTGTACCCATAAACTTAATTAGGAAAAATAAAGATGCCTATTTAAACACCTCAGGAATGCACACCCAGGAGAGGAGACCGGAAGGAGGAGAAGTGGTAAAGGACAGCAAAGCCCAGGAGGGGTGTGCTGTGGGGCGAACTGACGTCACCGCAGCGCCGGTCTACCTGTTCCCAGCCCTAGCTCACAGGACACCCAGGGCAGAGCGGCAGGTGTCCTATCTCCTCTCCACAGGTAAACAGTGCCAAGGCGCGGCCTGGGATGCCTGGGAAAAGGATCCAGCGTTCCGCTTTCCGCTCTGCGCCCCAAATCCACCAGACCTCAGCCGGGCAGCAGCAGTGAGGGCAGTACCTGCGGGAGGTCTTTAGACCTCCTACTCGGATCAGAACTCCACAGGTACTCCTCACCTAATTCTAACCCGGTACTTTATTATCCCTGTCTTACAGAAGATAACGCGAAGCACAGCCTGGGGTGGTGCACGACTGGAATCCCAGCCCTCTGGGAAGCTGAGGCTGGATGATTGCAAGTTCCAGCCCAGCCTGGGCAACTTAGGGAGAGCGGGGCTGGGAACGGAGCTCAGAGTGAAGGGCCTGGGTTCAATCCCCAGCACTGGGCCAGAAAGGAAAGGAAAAGGCGACGCTTCTTCCCCGGATACCCCATCAAACCCAGCCCAACAGGCCGGCGGTGACACCAGGCTGGGCCGCGGCGGCCTTCCGTCCCCAGCTCGGTCCCCCGCCTTGGCGAGGGCACGGCGGCGGTACCTGGGGGCTGTCCTGCAAGGCCTCCTCCAGCAGGAGCTTGTCCACGGCGGGCATGGCGCGGCGGGCGGGCGGGCGGGCGAGGGCCGAGGACGTGGACAGCGAGGACCGGACTCGGGGAAGCAGCCGAGCGCTCACTCCTAGGGCTCCGCAGCAGCTCCGGCCCGGGCCCCGCCCCTCCACCGATGGCCACGCCCCCACATCTGACCACGCCCACTCGCCCTCCTCAGCGCCCCTTCCCCGCCAGGGCAGATCAACAGGAAGTGCGGCGAGCGCCCGGGAGCATCACCGGAAGTGTGGCGGCCGCACTTCCGGAAAGCCCCGCCCCTCGCGGGGTGCCGAACCTTCTTACTAGAGCGAGGGGAGCTCTGTGAGCAGGACTGTCCTCTCCCTTGGGGTCTGTGCCAGAGAGCCGAGGAGGGGGATCTCGAGGGTAGGAAGCAGAGTTTTATCTGCCTGTGAGTGCCCAGAAACCATTGATAGGAAGGAGATTGAAACACGTTTTGCCACTGTTCTGGTCAGTCACACTGTTTTTGGTTGTTTTTTTTTTTAAGTACTGGGAACTGGCTCTAGGAAGCCCTGAGCTACACTCCTCATTTCCTTCCTTCTTCCTCTCTTATTTGACTTTGCGATAGGGTCTCCCTGAGCTGTCCGTCGCGCTCTCGAACTCGCAGTTCTCCTGAAGCAGCCTTGGAAGTAGTTGGGCTAGCACATAGGCACCACCCTCCGGACTCTCACCCTGACTAGAACAGAAAGACAACCCTTCACCTCTCACGCGGGCCCTGCTAGGTAAGTGCCAGTCCCCTGGAACCCCTCTGAGAGGAGAGGTCCCTCAAGTCTGGAAGGAAGCACCGGCTCTGAATCTTCTGTGACATTCAGAAACAACTGGTTTTGGAAGTCACAGCTGTTTGATTTGGACCACGATAACTAGATTCCATCCTCTTTTCACTTGGGAGAATTTTATGATCAAATTTTAGAGTTGGAATGGAAAGATAGTCTAGTTCGGTGTTGTCGTTTAAAGATGAGAAAATGGATCCCAGTGAATGAAACGATTTGGTCATGGTCATACAAGCTTTAGGGCAGGGGGAGGGGGACACGGAGACTGCTGAGGGAAGGTGACATCTTTTTATGTGAAAGGCAAGAGTCTCTGAAGTTCCTGCTTAGGAGTCAGTAATTGTATGCAACAGAAAATCAACAGGAAAAATGTCGCCGCTGCACAAACTGTGCATTCGGCAGAAACCACTAAGCTGTGTCAAGGGAAGCTGCCAGGTGAGCTCCTCAGAGTTGGCAGCCGGGCGTCCTGTGCTGTGCAAACGCCAGCGTCGCATTTCCTGGGCTCTGGGCAGTGCCGCACGCCCTGAGCTATTGCGTGGCTGCCATCTACCATGGTTTTTACCAAGGTTTTCCTTCTACACTCTAGGTAGAATCCTGCTCCCACCACGTTGGTCCCTTTTCCTCCTTCTGCCAAGTACCATTTAGTTGATTTCTGCTCATGCCACAGCCCACTCTCTCCAGATCAAAGTCCTCTTCCCCAAGGCCAGACTCAAGCTTTTTCTTTCTCTCTCCAGGATGGTAAGACTGACCCAAGGCAATGATTATACCAAGGGAAAGGACACGGGCACATTATCACTTCAAATCAGGCCCTAAGGAGAGGCCACACCCTCGGAACCTTGGAAGGGACACTTTTCTGTCTTGAAAGTCTCCTTATTTTCTAAGAACCATCTCATTTCTAATTAAAACTAGGTTTCCTCAAGCACCAATATTCAAAATTATTGAGCCCATGTCGTACCACTATTTTGCTTGAAACTATACATTTTATTACTACATTATGGGCTAAATCTCCTCCGTGCAATTTCTTGGCACTTAAGGAACATTTATAACTGTTTCTATGGGAAACTGGATCCCAAGTGCAAAACACCAGCTTACATACTGAAATGTGAACTACAACAGCGCACTTAAAAATTGTTTTAACCCATTTCATGACTCCATCCAATCATTCATTCTTTCATTCATGTAATAAATACAGGCTGCTGAGCGTTCCACATTGCCTCACATTTTGCTGTCTTTACCAGTATTATGGACTACTTAAGAATACTTTTTTTTGGCGGGGGGGCTGCCCCTTAGCTCAGCTCTTTAAGTGGCTGCTTCAACAAAGCAGTCAGGCTCAGGTTGCTGTGGTTCGATCCCCACAACTCAAGCCAGCCAAACCTGCCCTGAAGGCATTTGGAG